ACTATAGACTAGACTATAGACTAGACTATAGACTAGACTATAGACTAGACTATAGACTAGACTATAGACTAGACTATAGACTAGACTATAGACTAGACTATAGACTAGACTATAGACTAGACTATAGACTAGACTATAGACTAGACTATAGACTAGACTATAGACTAGACTATAGACTAGACTATAGACTAGACTATAGACTAGACTATAGACTAGACTATAGACTAGACTATAGACTAGACTATAGACTAGACTATAGACTAGACTATAGACTAGACTATAGACTAGACTATAGACTAGACTATAGACTAGACTATAGACTAGACTATAGACTAGACTATAGACTAGACTATAGACTAGACTATAGACTAGACTATAGACTAGACTATAGACTAGACTATAGACTAGACTATAGACTAGACTATAGACTAGACTATAGACTAGACTATAGACTAGACTATACTAGACTAGACTATAGACTAGACTATAGACTAGACTATAGACTAGACTATAGACTAGACTATAGACTAGAATATAAACTAGACTATAGACGGGACTATAGACTAGACTATAGACTAGGCTATAGATCGGACTATAGACTAAATTACTTATTAGACTATAGACTAGTCTACTTGATTATAGATTAGACTAGACTATAGACTAGATAATAGACTAGACTATAGACTAGGCTATAGACTAGACTATAATTTAGACAAGACTAAAAAGGCTAAATAATGAACTATAGTCAAGACTGGAGGCTAGACAATAAGAAATTTCGATTTCGTCTGTTTTACATCTGTATAAGCACATGTTGCCCATCACTGCATGAAATAAATGATTTATATTGTCTATGTATAATATCTCATAAACTAAACCAAAAGTAAACAATTTTTCTTAGCTTTTCGGTTTATTTACTCTTTAGCCCTTAAAAAGGGCCGCTCTCTAACAACTTTAATTAATATTTATTTAAATATTTACTCTCTGAACTTTGTTAATCAATTTCTATTAATAGACTATTTAATTATATTAAATGTGTGCTCGGCCTATCTATTACAAAAAATATGACGTTATTATTTATGACCTTTTTAACTTGAAAATAACAAAAGATTATCTCTTGATCACTCTAATAAACAAATATTTAATTAAATTGCAGGGTAAATAAAATTTTAATTTTTTGGAATTTAAAAAAAATATTTACTTAATGTAAATTATTTTAAAAACAAATGCATTTATCAAGTTCATGAACCTTTTTTTTCGAAAAAAAATAATGTGACAAAATGTTTGTATTATATTTGAGGAAATTTTTTTTAATGAGTAAATGATTTATTGGAGTTTTTGGAAATGTTGTTTTGTTTTAAAGGGTTAATGATTGTTATTTGCCTGCTTCACTTACATTTTAAGTAGTAAATAATTTATATATTTTTTGTTTTAATTATTTGTTTATCTTCAAAATTTAATTATTAAGTTGTTTTGTAAAATTATGAGTTTTAAAAGAAACGTTTGGGTTATACAAACATAAATTTTAAAAACCTTTTTTTGTAATGATTTTGTTAAGAGTTAAAATGTTTCACCTACAGTAGGAAGCAAAAGTAGTGGCACAAACCAGAGTGGATGCGCAAACTATCCAAACTAGGGCTTTTAAGTTTGAGGAGAAAGTAGATAATTTCCTTTGATAACTTATGTAATGCAGCTCGAAAATTAAAATGTTGTTATTATACTTTTCCTCGCCACTGTAACCATAACTTTATAGTTTGTCATTAACTGCTCTACTGTAATGATGCTTTATTTTTATGCACTTTTTTTGTGTTTCACTACTCTTAACTGAAACTGTGTATGTTTTCAGTGAAATAAACTAAAATACAATTGTCAAGTTCAATGTCTTTTCTCAGATTTTCAACTTGAAATTATTTGCTTAAAGATACAACATATGGATGTTTATATTCACAATATTATTGCTGTTTATTTCATTTTGTCAATGTTGACACCAACATTAATCTTATTTTAAATTAAGACCTGTGAAAAAAAATTATAATTTGTTTAAGGAAATAAATATTTTTATAAATAATTATATAGTGGAGAAGACTTTACGGAATAAAAGTTTATTATAAAAAAATAATAATAATTGCAATTATATGGATACCCAGATAAAATGATGAATGAGTTTGTCGTCAATTAAATGTCTAGAAGAACAATAAATTGTTTAAAAAACTTTAGCAATAAATACGATAAAATAAAATATTTTCAAAACTAGGAAGTGATTTTCTTAAAAGTCTTTGTTTTTAAGCTTTAACGGTAAAAGGATTTGAAAATTATACTGCCGGGATTTATAAACTTGAGCCTATAGTCAAGGCTAGAGTATGGACTAATCTAGTTTTTAGACTATATACTTAACAATAGAATAGACTATAAACTAGACTATAGACTATACTATAGAATAGACTAGACTATAGACTAACTATAGACTGACTATAGACTAGACTTTTATAGACTAGACTATAGACACTAGGACTAGACTAGATAGAATAGACTATAGACTACTATAGACTATATAGACTAGACTATAAAGATAGACTAGACTAGACTAGACTAGACTATAGTATGACTACGAATAGACTATAGACTAGACATAGACTGATTAGACTGACTATAGACTAACTAAGGGGACTAGACTATAGATAACTATAGACAGATATAACTAGACATAGACTAGACTATAGACTAGACTATAGACTAGACTATAGACTAGACTATAGACTAGACTATAGACTAGACTATAGACTAGACTATAGACTAGACTATAGACTAGACTATAGACTAGACTATAGACTAGACTATAGACTAGACTATAGACTAGACTATAGACTAGACTATAGACTAGACTATAGACTAGACTATAGACTAGACTATAGACTAGACTATAGACTAGACTATAGACTAGACTATAGACTAGACTATAGACTAGACTATAGACTAGACTATAGACTAGACTATAGACTAGACTATAGACTAGACTATAGACTAGACTATAGACTAGACTATAGACTAGACTATAGACTAGACTATAGACTAGACTATAGACTAGACTATAGACTAGACTATAGACTAGACTATAGACTAGACTATAGACTAGACTATAGACTAGACTATAGACTAGACTATAGACTAGACTATAGACTAGACTATAGACTAGACTATAGACTAGACTATAGACTAGACTATAGACTAGACTATAGACTAGACTATAGACTAGACTATAGACTAGACTATAGACTAGACTATAGACTAGACTATAGACTAGACTATAGACTAGACTATAGACTAGACTATAGACTAGACTATAGACTAGACTATAGACTAGACTATAGACTAGACTATAGACTAGACTATAGACTAGACTATAGACTAGACTACTAGACTAGACTAGACTATAGACTAGACTATAGACTAGACTATAGACTAGACTATAGACTAGACTATAGACTAGACTATAGACTAGACTATAGACTAGACTATAGACAATAGACTAGACAATAGACTAGACTATAGACTAGACTATAGACTAGACTATAGACTAGACTATAGACTAGACTATAGACTAGACTATAGACTAGACTATAGACTAGACTATAGACTAGACTATAGACTAGACTATAGACTAGACTATAGACTAGACTATAGACTAGACTATAGACTAGACTACAGACTAGACTATTTACTGGACTAAAGACTAGATTAAAATGTTCGACTTGAAAATTTTTAGTAAAATTTAAAATTTTAAATAAATTTTCATTGGTTTTGGCTGCAACTCTTTCTTTTTATACTTATTTCCAAGTTAAATCCCTTTTCTTCAAAATGATTTAAAAATATTTCTGTCAGTTTGTTGAAAATTTTTTTTCAATTGATTATTGCTCTTTACTCTTTATATGATGATTTTAAGTAAATTATTAAATTGAAATAATTTAATTAAATATTTTGATGAACTGAAAATAAACTCTACCAAAAAAGAAAAATTCTTTAGCAAAAATGAACTCTACAAGCAAATCTTAATTGTTTAGCATTTTAATTAAAAGCAATAATATAAATCAACAAATTAAATGCAGAGTGGATAATAAGATTACAGGGGGGAACTTTAAGACCAGCATAAAAATACTCAAAATTAAAGCTTTAAAAAAAGGCCAGGGGAAAAATAGTGAGGGAGATAAATATAAAAGCTGAGGGGAAATTGGGCACACTTTTAAGATTTTATATATTCACGGTTTTGTTTTACAACAACTTTGTATATTTTTAAGCTTAAGGTTTTCCTGAAACCTTATATTTATTTCCACTGCTGTAGTTATTCTTTTACTCTAAAAAGATCTAACAAAATAAACAAACAGCCAAAACTCAAATCAGGGAATTGTTGTTAAAGTCACACCAAAAAAATATTAACAATTGACCTACAAAAATAAATTAAAAAGCAAATAAACCAAACTGACAGAAAAACAAATTTGTCTCTTTCTCTGTCTGGTTTTGTTTTAAGCCAAAAAAACCTTTTTAACTTTAAAAAATCATGGTCAAGTTCACGTAGACCTTTTCTAAAAATAATATTTTTTTTTGCAAATGTGAATTATTCAAAATTGATTTCAAATCTAAAACAAATTTTATGGTTTTATTTATGAAATTAATATCTTGTTTGTTACAACTTTATTTCTACTATTGTTTTTTGCTTTAAACATTTCCTTAACGTTTTCCCCTTTAAACAAAATTTATGTCTTTACCTTTAGGCCTTAATAAATTATTTTCATTATTGTTTCTCTATAAAAAAAAACGTTTTGTGGGTATTTATTAGGCTTTTTGTAAATTTTAAATTGATTTTTTTATTCAATATTTTATTTTATATTTATTATATTATTTTGTTTCATTTCAATGTTAATTATATTTATTTCTTTTAATTATTGCTTATTTTATTGGGTTTTTTAAAATAAATGATTAATTAATTTTATGTTTTTGTCTCTTTGCAGGTAATTTTCTTTTATGATTAAAACCGGGAAAGGTTACGTATAAAAATCTATTGCAGAATTAAAGATTTTCTTTAATTTTAATGATTAAAGGTAAAAGTAATTTTAAGATTTTTTTTTAAAATTTAGGAAATTATTTAACTGAAATATAAGTAACATATAATTTTAGGAAATTTCTTAATTTTAGGAATTTTTTTTTTGCAAAATTTTCATTTTAAAGGAAAATTTTTGATCATTCTATTTTTATAGAAAATTGCTGGTTTGTTTTCTCTTTATATAAGATTGTCGATATAATTTCTCTTTAAGAAGTCTCTTTAAGAAGTCATATAATTTTTCTCTTTATAGACGATCATAATTCTCTTTATAGAAATTTTTTGATGAATTCTCTCTTTCTAATAAAGTGTCAATAAATTTTCTCTTTGTAAGAAATTATCCATCAATTTTCTCCTTTTAAAGATTGATGATCTTTAATGAAAATCATGGATAAAATTTCTCTGTGATCAATTTTCTCTTTATATGTAATTGACTATAAATTTTCTCTATTTAGAAGATTGTCTTTAAATTTGCTCTTTAAAAAATCATTGATCAATTTTCCCTTTATAAGTAATTGAGGATCAATTTTCTCTTTATAGAAACGTGTTGATCAATTTTCTCTTTATAAGAAGTTATCGATCAATTTGTTTATGATAGAAGACTGTCGATCATTTTTATTATTTATAGAAGATTCTTTATCACTACTTTCTTTATAGAAAATTATTATATAAATATAGTCTTTTTATAGTAAATTTGTAGATCAAATTTCTCTTTATATAGAAGATTGTCTTTAAATTTTCTCTTTAAAAAATCATTGATCAGTTTTCCCTTTATAAGTATTTGAGGATCAATTTTCTCTTTATAGCAAAGTGTTGATCAATTTTCTCTTATAAGAAGTTATCGATCAATTTGTTTTTGAGAGAAGATTTTCGATCAATTTTATTATTTATAGAAGATTCTTTATCACTAATCTCTTTATAGAAAATTATCTACCGATCGTCTTTTTATAGTAAATTTGTAGTTCAAATTTCTCTTTATAGAAGATTATCGTTTCAATTTCCGCTTATAAGAAATTAAAGATCAGTTTTCTCATTGTTGAAACTTTTTGATCAATTATCTCTTTATAAGAAATTGTCGATCAGTTACCGCTTTAAAGAAAACCCCCAAATTCTTCTTTATGGAAATTTCCTTTGTATAAGAAATTGTCGATCTATTTTCTCTTTATTAAAGATTGTTGATGAATTTTGTTTTTTAAAACAAATTCTTCTATTTATAAGAAATTTGTTTTCTATTTATAAAAGATTATCGAAACAATTTCCTTTTATAAGAACTTGAAGATCAGTGTTCTCATGGGCAAAACTTTACTCTTTATAAGAATAGATCATTTTCCTCTTTAAAGAAAACTATCAAACCTCAATCAATGTCTTCTTCATAGCAACTTGCCGATCAATATTATCTGTATAAGAAATTGTCGATCACTTTTCTTTTTATCGAAAATTATCGATCAATTTATTTTAATCTCTTTATAGAAAATAATCGATCGATTATCTCATTATAGTAAAGTGTTGATGTATTTTCTTTGTATAGACGATTGTCGATACATGTTCTCTTTGTAGACGATTCTCGATCACATTTCCCTTTATAGCCGGCTGACGATCCATTTTCTCTTAGAGAAAATTATAGATCAATATTCAGTTTTTATAAAATTCTCGATAAATTTTCTATCTAACGCTGTTTATCGATCAGTTTTCTCTTTATGGAGAATTGTTAAAGAACTTCGAGATTTTATGAAATTCTCAATCAATTTTCTATTCTCTTTACAGAAGTTTATAGATCAGTTTTCTCTTTAAAGAAAATTCTTCTGTTTATAAAAAAATTGTCGATAAATTCTCGATTAAATTTCCTCCTTATAAGAAATTGAAGATCAGTTTTGTCATTGTCGAAACTTGTTGATCAATTTTCTCTTTATAAGAAATCGATCAGTTTTCTCTTTAAAAAAAACAATTTACCATCAATATATTTTTCCTTTATAGAAACTTGCCGATCAATTTTCTCTTCGATTAATTTCTTTTTTAAGGAAGATTGTTGATCAATTTTCTCTTTATAAGAAATTGATCAGTTTTCTCTATCTTTATAGAAACTTAACGATCAATTTTCTCTGTATATGAAATTGTCCATCAATTTGGATCTTTATCGAAAACAGTCGATCAATTTTTTCTTTAAAGAAGATTGTTAATCAATGATCATTAAAGACTTTAGAGAAAATAATCGATCAATTGTTTCTCTATAGTAAATTGTTGATCTGTTTTCTTTTTATAAAATATTATCGATCGATTTTGTCTTTGTTGCAATTTGTGGATAAAATTTTTCTTTATAGAACATTTTCAATCAATTTTAAAATTTGTCAAACAATTTCCTTTGTATAAAAAATTGAGGATCAGTTTTCTTTTTAAAGAAAATTATTGATCAATTTTCTTTTAAAGTCTTTAACAATTTTCTCTTATATAGAAACACCTCGTTTTGCAAAATTTTCCTTTGTATATTTATTTTGTCGCGAAAATCTATTTTTACCTTAAACATTTTGCAAAGAATTTTAATTCTATTTTCCAACTAAATTAATCACTCAAACTCCAATTAGCTGTTGGCCGACAAAATATCTGGTAAATTTTTTTTTCGAAGCGTTGATATTTATGTCGTCGTTTAACTTAACAAAAAAAAACTATTCGCTATTTACGTTTAAATATGGCTAAAAATGCTTAAAGGAACAAAAACAAAATCGTTGTTGTAAGTAAGCATAGAGTATTTTTTCTAAATAATTATAGTTGTTGTCATTTAATCTTAAACCGCAATAGTTACAACAACAACAGCCACAACTACATGTAAGTAGTTGGTCGTCGGACTTACACTAAAAGTCAACATTTAATCACAACATGTTTCAAATGATTTTATGTCAAATGTGGCTGCAGCAGCAGCCACTCACTGACTGTTGCTGGTCAATTTCATTGTAAAAGCATCAACAGAATATTTGTGGTCGGTTGTTGATTCTTTCTAGTCCCCCCCGCCTTTTAAGCTTTGGCGCCATTTAAAATGCTTGCTGTCGACGATCATCACCATGATGAGAATTATTAGAAAAAATTTTAAAGATTTGTTAAGGAGAGACAATGAGACATTAAATGAGGGGGGATACAAACAAAAAAAAAAAAAACACACACAATTGTCATTGACATCAAGGTATATTGGTTGGTTGGTTGTAAGCGGCAAATATTGATTTTTTACAAAAAAACATTGTTGCGGCGGTTTTCATAAAATCTATGACAAGTTTGCTAACATTACACACACTTACACGATTATACGATCAGTAAAATTCTTACAGGGTTTTGGCGTTTGTAAAATTTGTTGCAAGTAGCAATTTGTTGTAACAACATTAAATCAATAGAGTAGGCCGGCCGCATAAAGCTAAAACAAATTTATGTTTTAGTTTGAGAAATTTGAAACAGTTTCAACACAAAATGTTAAAATCAAGATTAATAGAACTTTGACGATCACTTTATGGTAATTTTGTTCCATTTTATATGGAATTTTAAATCAAAATTTTCCATTAAATTCTTCAATTTATATTTTCTCTTTGTATAAGTAAAATCGATATCTTTTCTCTTTATAAATATTTATTTTCTCTTCTTAGAAGATTAACGATCAATTCTATCTTTATAAGAAATTTAAAATTTTTTTTATGTAAAAATATGTTCCATACATTTTTTCGTGGAAAATAGACGATCAATCATCTCATTATATAAGATTGCTGATCATCTTTATAAAAATTGTTGAAAATTTTTTCTTTATAAAACTTTTGAGATCCATTTTCTCTTTGTAAAATAATTATCGATCAATTTGCTCTTTATAATAGATTATTATAAATTTTTTCTTTATAATAGATTTATGATCATTACAGATCATTTTTCTCTTTATAAAAAAATTTTGAAAAATTTTTCATTTTATAAAAAAATTGTCGATCAATTTGCTCTTTATAGTAGATTTCTGATCAATTTGCTTTTTATAGAAGATTGTTGATCAATTTTCTCTTTATAATAGAGTTTTGATCATTACCTCTTTATAGAAATATAAATTTATTGACAATTTATCTCTATAAATAATTCTCGATCAATTTTCTCTTTATAGATTATTGTCGATCAGTTTTGTCTTTGTACAAATTGGACAATTGTGGATCAATTTTCTGTTTGTGTTAGGTTGTCGATAAATTTTCTATTTATAGATAACTGTCAATCAATTTTCTTTTTGGAGAGATTTGTTGATCAATTTTCTCTCTATAAATGATTGTTACTTTCTCTTTTAAGATGATTGCGGATCATTTTTGTCTTTTTAAAAAATATACTATTGCGGATAGATTATCTATTTAGAGATCATTGTCAATAAATTTTCTGTAGAAGGTTGGTGATCAGTTCTCTCTTTATAGGTAATAATAGCTAAATTTTCTCTTTGGAGAGAATTCTTGATATTTTCTCTCTTTATACGTCGATCAGTTATGTCTTTGTATAAAATGGATCATTGCGATAAATTTTCCCCTTATAGAGGATAGTCCATCCTTTTCAGTTTTTATAAAATTATCGATCTATTTCCACTTTAGAGAAAATTATTGATCAAGTTTCAGTTTTTATAAAATGCTCGATCAATTTTTACATTAAAACGATTGTCGTTTAAAATTTCACTTTATAGAAGATTCGCGATCATATTTCTCTTTATAGTAAATTGTTGATCGATTTTATGTTTTTTTAGTGTTTATAAAATTATCGATCTTTTTTCCCTTAAGAGAAAATTTTTGATCAATTTTCTTTTTATAGGCGACTGTCGATCGATTTTCACTTTATAGAAGATTCTCGATCACATTTCTCTTTATAGTAAATTGTTGATCAATTTTAAGTTTTTATAAAATTCTCGATCATTTTTCTCTTTTTAGAAGAGTGTCGATCAATTTTCTCTCTAAAGACGATTGTCGATCATTGTGCTTTTTGTAGATGATTCTAGATCTCATTTCTCTTTATAGCAGGTTGTCGATCAATTTTCTTTTTATAGTTAATTGTTGATCGATCAGTTTCTATC